GGGTTTAGGGTTTAGGGTACCTTTGGACTTCCCTGACCATCTATGGGAGCTTCGGAAAAGTACGGCTGAATATATAAATCCTGCATTGCCCCGCATAAGGAATAGACAATAATTCCCATAGTTTAGGATCCTTCAGGTAATGCAGGATGTTTATCATCAACAGTAGGGGTACCTTGTCAGGGTTTAGGGCTTAGGATTTAGGATCTACTTAGAGGATCACGGGACTAAGTACGTAAGGTTATAAGTACCTCAATTAGGCTTATAAGTAGATAGAACTATAGTTACCTTACTTATAACCCTACTTAATAAGTCCCCTGATCCTCTAAGTAGGGTTTCGGGTACCTTGTCTAAGGGTCCCTCTAATCAACTCTAAACAAGATCGTGTTTGGAGGGGCTCTACATCAGGGCCCCCCGCTTTCTGAAGCTCACATTTCTGGCCTGTCTGCAAATTGGAGGTTTAGCATGAGCCGTCCTTCAGCCGTCGACACTACTGAACGCCATCGCGCTGAAGCGCCGTTTGAGAGAGTAGACTCGGTCAGGCGGAAAACTTCGTGTTGCCAAAGGCACTGCTTATAAGCAGGGGAGTGAAGAGTTGTGCCACATCTCCATCGGCTTCAGAGACAGTAACAGCGTTCATATTTCTGAGATCAGCACAACTACAACCACCAAAACACGACCGAACCATGCTGTCAAGAGCATCTAAGGGCAGGAGTGGCCAAAAGCAACATTTTAGGGTTTAGGGTTTCGGGTTTAGGGTTTAGGGTTTAGGGTTTAGGGTTTAGGGCAACATTGGCAGATATCCAGCTGCCAGCGTTGCTCACGAGTATGATAAAGATTGCATAAACGGATGTTCACCGGCAAGAAGGCATGTATGACCGGTCTCGGTTCCCGTGACGATCACCAGCCACAATTGCCACTCAGAAGGTGGCGGCAGATAACATCCAGTTTCCCGGTAGAATGCCTGCAAGCTGCATCACCGTGTCGATTCGAGACCTTTGCTGAGGTACTGACGACGGGAACAATTGATCCCACGCAGTTCTCACTCCAGGTCGCCAACAACTACAGGGGCAAACTCGAAGGCATCTGCTTCTCTGGGCACCTCTAGCACCTTTTGCGACTCTTCCCTGAACCGCTGTTTGTACAATCGCAAATCGCCCTGTCGATGACCGGACGAAAACTCAGAGCACTGGCCAGGCAGAGATGTTGCATCATGGTCTGCGGGCGACTGATGTGCTGATGCACTTTCTGCTGGCGGATGATCTGATGATGCGCCGTGCTGGCCGTGGGGTGCAGTTACAAGTAGGGACGGGTGATCCTCTTCCTCCTCCTCCGAGAGCATGTCATCCAGGTCCTTCCAAGGGACCTTGACTACGCTTGCCGGCAGAGGAAAGTCAAGAACAATACGGGTATGCTCGTGCTTGCGCTCTTGATCCTTCTGGGAGTCAGCCGCGATGACTGTCGATCTGTGGCTGCAGCCGGTCGCCCCTGTGCTGGCGAGCGTTTCCGCTTTCTGACGAGCTCCGATCCCTTCTGCGGATCTGCTTCAGCCCGCAGGGCAGCACTCCCACCGCACGAGAAAAGACGTGGCCATCCCCCCCGATGCTTCCAGTTGCGTTCTCCGCCTCCTCTGGCACTTTTGACACCGATCTGTCGGACGAGCGAAGCATGCTCCGAAGAGCCTTGAACATCTTGTGCCTGGCCCTTGACGGTGGCGGCACAGGGATCGACCTGATGCGCCCCTTCGCCGAAGTCCATATACTTGGAGGATCATGGGACTTAGTAAGTGGGGATATAACTAAGGTAACTATGGTTCTATCTACTTTATAACCCTATTTAGGGTACTTATAACCCTACTTACTAAGTCCTCTGATCCTCTAAGTACGACCAACTCCTAAGCCCAGCGAAGAACCTGCGGATGCTGCAGCTCCGCTTGGCAAAGCCTCCTCGGACATGTCCGGCTTTCCGCAGAACTCTTCCAGGCTTTCATCTCCCGGTGCATCGACATGACCATAGTGAGACCTATACCCCTTAAATAAGGAATATAGCTTAAATTATAGGGGCCTTAATACTATGATTTAAGGTATATTCCTTAATTCTATACTGAACTTAGACCCCTAGCAAAAATTATAATTTTAGCTGCTTCTTAGGGTTTATAGTAGCCAAAGATTAAAAACTATTTCTAAGTACCCCTAAGAGACAGGGCGGCATGCGCGATCCGGACTGCCCGAGACTTGCCGCCCGCTGTCACAAGAGATTCCTAGTTCATGGTTGGGGTAGTATTACAAA